GAGATGGCGAGCGAGGGAACACAAGCAGGGGAGTGGGAGAGGGAGAAGCAGGCTCCCCGCTGAGCAAGGAGCCTGATAGAGGGCTCGGTTCCAGGACCCTGGGATCATGACCCGAGCCAAAGGCAGACGCTTAACCAACTAAGCCACCCAGGTGCCCCTCTCTTGGAGTTTCAACACTAATGGTGGAAAAGGAGATTTCTCTCCATTACCTTTCAGTTTTTTGTTGGTTAGAAAGTTTCATTATAGCTAGAGAAAAAAAATTCCATTATTAGCAAATCAATGCCTTTTTCATATGAAACTTTTCTGAAATTCTTCAGGGTAGATCGATATTTGTTTATTATTTTTTTAACAGAAAATTCATTTTTAAGTGTAAGAGGTAACAAATTGTGAGGAATTGGCTGTGTATATTTTGTTTTCACCACCCTTAATAATAAAGAATACAATTCATTGGAAAAAAAGAAAGTTTCATTAATCAAAGTAGCTGCTAACCTCATGGATAGTTGATTCTCCTTAGTACCTCATTTATCGCACTCTATTTTGCACTGTTTCTATTAGAGTATTCGTTTTACTACTTGTCATTTATTTCTCTGTGTGCTTCCCTTGCTAGATTGTGACTCCTTTCAGTTTTTTGGTTGTGAAAAAGGGTGATCCTCTGGCTGGAAAGCAGCAGGTGCATCATTCCTTGAACCTTGAGAGCAGGGAACAAGAATTTATTCTTATTTACTCTCTGTCATAATGCCCAAAGCCTGGCACATAAATGGCTCCCAGCAGTTTATTCATTGAATTAATGATAGAGCCACTACCTATTTGAGTGACATGGGCACACTTGCACACACACACACACACACATTCATATATGCTCCTCAGCAGGTGGGAAAACCCAGTCTCCCAGAGATCATCTTTGTGCATATTGATCTGCACACAGAGCCATCTGGAAAAAGGTAGGTTAGACGTGAGTGAGGGGCAGGGTGAGCTGTCTTTCTAAAGAGCTGTGCTAAGATTCATACCCTGGCTTCTTTGCAGTCTGAGACGGGTAGGTTCTCGATTCAGCCACCCCCAAAATGTGGGCATCTGTGTCATCTCTGAGATATGTCATGAGTTGCCAACCCATGCCATAGAAAATTAAGGAAAAGAGTGTTTTTGAAAATAAACTAGGGTGATTTTATTTACTCTCAAATAAAGTCATAAATGTTTTATATTATTCCAAAGATTTGCAACATTTCCCTTCATTGTTTCTAAAGTCAAGGGTTTTCAAGAAGCTCCTGACTTTTTCTTAAGATCCTTCCATTTTTTGTGATAGGCTCGGGTTTCAATGTTTCAGGTTCTTCACAGGATTATCTTCTTGGGAGGTCAGGCACAGTGAAGGGTCTTTCACTCAGATGAAGGATGGGTTGATGGGGCTGGTCACTTGCAGGTCAGCTCTGAAGCCCAATTCACACTCGACTAATCACCAGTGGCTGATGTTAAGGACCAGAAAGCAATGCAGCTGGCCCATCCTGATGTGAGGATGGCTTAGAACCAGGAAACTGTCCGAACTCAGGACGATTCAGTGATCCAGAGAGCTTCGGTGGTAAGCTTCAAACTGGCCCATCACTGACATGTGGATAAGTTGGAAAATTCAGAGTTAGACAAAAGAAGAAGAGAGAAGGGCTGTCAACATTGAGATTTTAAATGGTGGGCTGTCCATGGTACATTGAATTAAAAAAAATTTTTTTTTTAAACCTAGATAGTTTGTCCTTTCTAAAGCAGTTTGCCTTTCTCTGAACCAGTAACTTCTTTAGCTACCAATGCTTGCCAAACATTGATTTAAAGTGACTTCTTTCATGTTAACAGCATACATATGGAAGGAGTAACTTTATAGGGCATTTTTATAATTTGAGATGATCTTATTTAAGGAGGAATCTTGCAATTACCTCTTTTGCCCCAGGGAAAAAATAGCTTTCCCCTCCTTTGTCTGGTTATGAAGATAAATTGTTTTGCTTTAAATAAGGAAAAAGAGGATTAATAGGAAAGATATAAAGGAAGATAAAAAATGTTTCAGGAAAGAGCAAATAACATTATTAAAGGATGAGGAGGCAGGAAAAGAAATTGGAAATAGACTAAAAGATTCACTCATCTTCCACCAAGAAAGAAGACAAATTAGCAGTCTTTAGTTATAAAACTCAGAAAGGGTTAAGGTGAATGCTCATATGTTTACCAAATCCTAGAGGATTAGGAAGAGGTTCAAAAAGAATGCACTGTGTTTCATATGAGCACATAGTTGAGGGTCTAAGAACCCAAAAAATGACCTGGGCAGCAAATATAATTTAAACAGGAGATCAAAGATGGTAGATATTTAGCACGTTTATCACTATTTCTATTCCGCACCCATGACAGACATTATTAATTGATCAGGCTTCTGTTTCCAGCTGAACTAGATGGATGCTCAGTGTGACAGAAAGTCACTTAACTACAGATGACCCTTGAGATGAAACCCTTTTGTTACCTATGTTTCGCCTTACTCCTCAAAATGTGCTCTCCAGACCATCAGCATGGGCATCACGTGGGAGCTTATTCTGAAAGCAGAAACTCAGCCCTCTTCCAGACCTACTGAATCAGAATGTGTGTTTTAGCAAGAGCTCCAGTAATTCCTATGGACAGTAAGGTTTAGGGCGCCCTGGAAGATCACTGAGTGCAGTATATATTCATTAGGGTGGAAGCCGTCAAACTTCAGTATGCATCACAATCACTGACTTACGTGCTTGTTGATCCTAGATTGCCGGGCCCCACCTCCAGAGCTTTTGGTCCAGTTGGTCGGGGTGGGGTTTTCAAACAAGTGTTCGGGTGCGGCTACTGCTACTGGTCTGGGAACCATACTTTGAGAACCACTGCCATGGAATTACTTTGGAGCATCTCTGTGAACTTTAAAGTTGAAGACTGCAAATATCTTCCCATAACTCTTGGTATAGCTGTATGAACAAGAGTTCTGGGTAAGAGAGTCCTAAGGTTTAATCTAGTATAACATTTCTTTTTTTTTTTTTTAAAGATTTTATTTATTTATTTGACAGAGAGAGACACAGCGAGAGAGGGAACACAAGCAGGGGGAGTGGGAGAGGGAGAAGCAGGCTCCCCGCAGAGCAGGGAGCCCGATGCGGGACTCGATCCCAGGACCCTGGGATCATGACCTGAGCTGAAGGCAGTCGCTTAACCAACTGAGCCACCCAGGCGCCCCTCTAGTATAACATTTCTTATGACACTATGTACTTGAATCTAAAAGGTTCTCCTCCTGGAGGATTGGTGCTATCATCACTCACGTACGCAGGGTATGCAGTAACAATCTGGGTGGCTGTTCTTTCCATAGCATTATATGATGCTGAGAGACTCGAATGAAGGTTAAAACCGCAGTTCCTAAATTCATGAGGCTTACTCTCTAAGAAGAGAATAAATATGAAATGAAAAAAGGTGGCATTAGATAGCAAAGGGCTGAGTGCTAAGTAAGTGGCACAGACCATGTATGATTTAATTTCAGAGAGAGGGAGAATACCTGGAATTATATATAAAACTATGTATTTCAGCCTAGCTAGAGTAGAAAGTCACTATCTAGAGTGGATGGAAGATAAGGTGGGGGAGGGAGCAGGCCAGTGTAAGAAGGCACCTTCTCATTTCTTAATGCTGCTTTCAGAGATTGTTTCCAGTTTTCCTTTGGTCTGGATAATGATAAATCAATGCTATCAGCATTGTAAATCATGCTACAGGGTGGACATACAGGGAAAACCTGTTATCTTAGAGACAGAGAAAAAAGACAAACAGCTTATAAGCAGAGATGACTGGGGAGGGGAGTAGCAGTAATTTAATAACAGGGATAATAATGCCCAACATCTATGGACCCCTTACACTGACAGGTACTTATGCTTAACCGTCATTTAATTAGACAGCTAAACCGTCTCATTTAATCCAAACAACAGCACATGATATAAATGTAGTCAAACCTCCTCCTTTACTCCAAGTGAAAACCGAAGCCTTGTAAGGATGCATGTCTGATGAAAGAACTCGCCTAGTTTAAATCCAGGCTATTCTCCAGGGTGGGGGCTCCTCATCCATGAACCGCGAGGGTTTGGGCCTGTTTGGATCTTGCTCTCCAATTCTCATAGACTCTGCGTCAGCGAGGAACCCAAAGAGCAACTGAGAAGCGAGAAATCCTCGGACGCATTAAAGTCGAGGAACCTGTGGGGCCAGTGCGTCCAAGGCGCGGACAGGGAGGGGCTCCTACGAGAAACGCAGCAAGGGTTAGCCTGAGCCAGCCAGGGTCATGGAGCCTCCCCTGGCTTCCTCTGGCCACTCTAATGACAGAGTACGCGGTAGGTTGCAAGCGGGAGCGGACTCGGGGCGGGAGGCTTCTCCGGGTACTGTATTTGCCTATAAATACTTCAAAGAGTTAAACGAAAAGGGCAGCCTTTGAAAGCTGCAGAGGAAGCTCTTCGGAGGCCCCCCCAGCCCGCCTGGAAGTGCTGGCAGAAAAGAGGAGAAATGGCTGGCGAGTCCTCAACGCAGGAGACGAGGAACAGCCCTGCCCAGTCCAGATGGGGGGCCGCAGGGCGGCGGGCGCGATTCCGGAAGATTCAAACCGTTAAGGTGACCAGAACAATTTGAAAAAAGGAAACAAACTCCCCCCCGAGTCTTGCCCGCGGGGCCCCAAGGCGGGCCTTTGCATTCGAAAGGGCATTTTTCAAAAAGAAGGTTTCGGGGACGCGGGAGTATCGGCTCGCTGGGAAGCGCGCGGCAAGAGCAGTGCCGCAGAGCGGCCACCAGCCGGCTTTGTACTTGGCGGCCAAGCGCGGCCCCAGAGTTTCGACCGCGGCCCGGGAGTTGAGGCCACGCCCCCTTTGCAGAGAGAACTGCAGGCGCTGATTGGCCCTCCACGGACCAATGGGCGCGCCGGGGCGGCCCGGGCTGTCAGCGCGCGCCGCAGCCGCGCGGGCCGCAGCCTGTCCTCCCCTGCTCCGAGCCCCGTAGCCAGCGCAGCCTCCCGGGGAAGCGGGGCCGCCGCTCGCGAGCGCAGCTCTGCCCAGCCAGCCAGCCGCGCGTCCGGGTGCCCGCGCCCCACGGCCACAGCCTTCCTGCGCTTTAGCTCACGGAGCATGTGCAGACCTGCTGGCGCTAAGGTGCTATCTGTCCGGGGGACTCCTAAGCCGTGGTGACTGTCACGCCTAGAGAGACCTTTCGGGGGCTGTCGCCGCGCCTCTGCGTCGCGGGTGACACTGCGGTGCTCGAGATCGGGGCAACAGCTGCCTCTTGGTGGAGGCGTCTTGGGCTCCGTGCGTTCTCCTTCTCCGTCCTCCTCTGCTCGCTCCTTCCCAACCCCCCTGCTGCTCGCTCCTACCCTCGCCCGCTCACACCCGCAGCCTCCCGGAGCGGGAGGCGCGCGTCCCCGCCGTTCCTCTTCCAAAGGGGCCTCCTCACTTCGGAGATGCAGTGACAAGTTAATATGGGCGTCCAAGCATCGGGTTCCCAGGAGGAGAATCGCAAGAGGGAACAGCCCCTGAACGCCCACATCCCTTGAACAGGCCGCCCAGGAGGGGCGTGAAACCCGGCTGCAGCATCAGTCCAGGTGGGACCAGCTGAGCTCCACGACCAGTCCTCTGCTCCATCCCGCACCCCGAAGGCGCGCTCGCGGGCTTGCTGCGAGCTCCCCGACCCGGGTTTTTTTTTTTTCCTCCGCTGGTGGTGGGCGCCTCGCGGGCCGAGGCCCGGCGCCTGCTCTGCTACCCGCGCTGCCTTTAGCGGTTGCCTCCGCCGCCGCTGCCAGGGACGTGCTGGGAAAGCCGAAGCCCCGGGAGAAGATGCCGGCCATCCTGGTCGCCTCCAAAATGAAGTCGGGACTGCCCAAACCCGTGCACAGCGCCGCGCCCATCCTGCACGTGCCCCCAGCCCGGGCCGGCCCCCAGCCCTGCTACCTCAAGTTGGGAAGCAAGGTGGAGGTGAGCAAGACTACCTACCCTAGCCAGATCCCCCTGAAATCCCAGGGGCCGCAGGAGCCGGCGGGGGAGGGGCTCCCGCTGCGGAAGAGCGGCTCGGTGGAAAACGGGTTCGATACCCAGGTGAGAGGCGCTGTGTGCCGGGGCACTGTTCTGGGAGGGTGGGTGAATACTTCTTGGGGGGAAGGTGGCTTGGTTGGATGGGGGAAAGGGCTGCCCGGTGGGCGAAGGGAGCCATTCCACTTAGGCTGGCAGACCTGGGGATGCGCGGGGAGAGTGGGCTGGCCGGTGGGTGTGGCCGGGTGCCGGAGGTTTGCCTGAAGGAGCTCGGAGAGACCCGGCTGTGGGCGCGCCCGCAGCTTCCTTCTGGGGGCACGGGTAGCGTGTTCACACACACACACACACACACACACACAAAGGCAAAAAAACAAAAAACGGGCAGCTCTGGTAATGTCAGGTCCTGCATGTTGAGAGCTTGGCCTCAAGAAGGCAGTGTCTGCGGCAACGGCTGGCTGGCTGTCGGTTCTGCAGAGATTCTGTCTCTGCCAAGGAATGGCCCGAGGCCTCCTTGGGCTCGACGCCCCCAGGCCTGGCAGCAAGACCTAGGCAGAGGGGTCTGGGGGTTGCAATCGACCTGCTCCCTTCGGCTTGACGATGGCCTGCCCCTGCCCGTGCCTTGGGCCGACAGGATTCCAGGCGCTGTGCTGGGACTGCCTGCCGTAGCATTGCCCGGTGCACCGGCTGAGCCAGGCAGCCGGAGACTCCTAGCGTCTTGGCTGGCGGTTGCGGCGGGGGTGGGGGTGGGGGCGGCTGCCTCCAAATAGCTGCCCGAAGCTAAGCTCCTCCTTCCTGGGGAGTAGATCCCGGCGCTGGTAGCCCGGGTGACTGGGTGTGGGGGTAGGGGATGGCTTGGGCTTGAAGAGAATTGGTGACTTTTACCTTTCCAGACAGAGCCTGCATCACCCGATTCGGCTGGGTGACAGGCCCAGGCCGCGCAATCTCTTTTAAGGAAATCAGCAAGGGCCAATCAGGTTCTTTTGGCCTCCTGCCCTCCCTGCTCCTCCCCCCACCCCCAATCTGGTAGGAGGGAGCAGGGGCATGCTGTATTTTCTTGGCAGTCAGTCAGCAGGGACTTTTGGGGACAGGCTGACCTGACGGATGTGACTGTCCCGGTCAGGAGAGGTGGGAAGCCAGAGGGGGAGGTGGTTTGGGGCTGGTGTCAGGGAAGTGGCAACAGACCAGCTGACCTTGTTGGCACTTTCCTCTCTGCTGACACTGTGTCCACCTTCTCCTGGAGCTTTCTCTGATCAGAGGCTAGAACTCGACACATTGCTAGCCTTTCCGATGGAGGAACTGGAGCTGGGAGCTAATTGTAAGCAGACTTTTGGAACTCTGGGCTGGAGAAGGCCCTCAAAGCAGATTAAGCTCCCACACCAGGCTGATAAGCATGCCCCTCACTGCTGCACTAGCTAAACATTTTTGGAAGCTGACAGGTCTGAGTGATGGCATGTGGGAGGAAGGCAAGATTTTCCCCTATGCTCCGGGGGGCCTGGCTCCGCTAGGGTTCTGCCCTCTGTTCTCTTTTTCTGCTGTGAGCCACAGGATTGGCCCAGCGGGCTCCAAAATGAGAATGAGCTCAGGGGTACCTTCTTGTGAGGTTTTCCTCTCCATCCTTGGAGGTGGGGCTTATGAGGTATGTTGGGTGGTATGTGGGAGGCCAGAGCAGGGACTCTGGGATGTGACACACACCCTTCCAGCCTGATGAGGAGGACCTGAGGAATGAGAGAGAACGTAGACATGGGATTGTTTCTACCCAGGCAGCTGTTCTGCCTTTGCCCATTTGACCCTGTATTTAACAAACGTTGTTGGAAGACTTGCAGTCCCCTGTTTTCTGAAAAAACATTTTCCAGCTGTTGCTAAAGGGGCTGGCAGGGTCCTGGTCCCTCAAGGCTTCGTTTCCCTCTCTTACTCTTGGCCCACCATCCCCAGCGTGCCCCCATTGCACCTGCCTTGCCCTCAGTGGGACCTTGTATGCTGATCATGAGGATGGTTTAGATGGACTGCTGAGGACATTGGCTATTTCCTGATGGACTATCCTACTCTTTACCAGCCTCCTCTTTCCTTATCCACGTTTGGGCTTCCTGAGGGCTCTTCTCTGAGGCAGGCGGCGGGTCCTTGTTCTCACTGCCCCACCTTGGTATCAAAGTGACCTTGGCAAAGGCGGTTTTCCCTTCTTTGGACAGGGCTTCCTTTCATTCTAACATGGTGCCTGTTCACCATCCAGGAAAGCCTCCCTATTATAGGCTTGAGGACTGTGTCTGGCTTGACTTCTGTAGTCCCTAATCCAAAACCTGGTATTTATCACTGGAAGATAGTCAGATGATGAGTTATATGGCAGATGATATCTTGGGGCCTCTGACTCCCCCTTTTATTCAGGGAGCTTTTGGCAGAAGGCTGGGTTGTGCAGTCGCTAGCAGAGGTTTTAAAGTCAGGCAGATATCTGTGGTGTCCCGTTTTTGCCACATACCAGCTGGGTGACCTAGTTAATTAACCTCTCTGGGCCTTAGTATTTCCATCTGTAAAAATGGGCATAAGCAACCATACAAATTGTAAGGATTAAGAAGAATAACATGTGAAGTGTTTAGCCCATTGTCTGGCAAATAAGGAACACTTAATAGAATTAGCTATTTATATTGCTAAACCAAGAGATAAGGCATGTTGAACCTGGATCTAATAGCCTGTAAGTGAGAAGAGGCATAGCTTATCTCTCTAGCCCTTGGAAAAGGTATTAATGAGTTCACAAGAATTTACAGAGCATCTATTAGTACCAGGCATGGCCTGAACATGAGGGAAGGGTACAGCCACTTGTTTAGTGCCTGGCTCTTTACATATGATATTATTTCATCCTCACAGTACCACTTAAAAGCAGACATGACATTTTCTATAACAATAATTTTCTATAATAATAATATAATAATGGCAATCAAATAACATAATAATGGCAAGTTAAATAATATAATAATGACAAATTAATAATATAATAATGGCAAAACAAATAATATAATCACTTTCTACATGCCAGGAATTGCTCTAAAGACTAGTACATAAAAAGCCTCTTTTGGTTCTTCTGACAATCCAGTGACATAAGTGTTATTATTCTCATTTTGCTCATGAGGAAACTGAGGCAAAGACCAGGTCAGTAAGCTTGTGAGTAGCAGAAGTAGAGTTAGAACAGTCTGGTTCTGGAATCCATGCCCTTAACCACTGTGCTCTAGAGAGATAACCACAGACTTCCAGCTTACTTGCAGGCCCTGGTAAGACCCCAGCTCTACCTGTTGAGCTAGAAGAGTGAGTGAGGCTCAGCAAGATAGAGTAACTTGCTCCAGGTCATCCTGCTTCGGTGCGATGGAATGGAGTTCAGCTCAGGTTGGGTTAGCTTCAAGGCTGGTGGTCTTCCCAGCCTTCATAGTTGCCTCCCTCCATCATTTACCCTGGCAGGTGCACAGAGTCAATAAGACATGGCCTGGGCCTTGGGGATTTTATAGCCTAGTTGGGAGGTGTAACTGATGTACCAAGGGCAATAGGACACAATACAGAGAGGGTTGAAAGATATGCTAGGGGGCCTGAAGAAAGGGAAGGGCCATAACTGCTGGAGAAATCCAGATGGCCTCCTGGAGGAGGCTGGGCTTCAGATGGGCAGGACTGGCTGGGTGGGGAGAAGAGGAGGTGAGATGACCATGAGAGGGAAGGATGAGGGGCAGGGCCATGCTGTGGTACAGAGCGGAAGATGATGTCACCACAGGGAAGCTGCACTTTTCATGCAACAGGTAATTGGCTCTGTATCTAGTATCTTCTTTTTAAAAGGTGGTGAGAAGAACAAAAGCATCTCGCAGTTGAAGGATTGGCTTTGCCTGCTGGCTGGTGGATAAGAATTCTGCATATGCAGGCTCCTTAGGAGAAGCTGGGAGGTGGTATCCATAAAGACCTGGTTCAGACTCTTGGGAAAATGACAGTGATTGTTGTTATTAGCTTGGGGTTCAGAATAGTCTACATGGTAGTTACAGGGGAAGGGAGGTGGTTCTCACGGCTTCTTTTATTATGCAGCAACTCTGTTCAGCCAGTGACAACCCTTTCCTCCCAAGCCAGCTCTCCACGTCCATCAAGTGTGAAAAGACCTAAGGTAGCCAGCAAACAGCTCTTAGGTGCAGCCTCATTGTCAACTCCCCGGGCCCCTCACCCTGAACCTCTCCCCAAACCTACAGCTGGGCTCTCCCCCACCTGGGGGGCCTGTGCTCTGCGGCTGCACATCCCTCCCGAATTCCCTTCCTCGTGCTGGGATACCTGGGCCTTCCCCCAAGAGTGAACATTTATAGCATCTGCTCTGTTAACGTGGGGTATAAATTATGACCATATGCAAAGAATTGTTTTAGAGGCATGCTCTGCGTTCGTTCAGAAACCCTGGCCGGCTGACCTTCAGATAAGGAATGCACATGAGCTATTTGAGGAGAGGTTAGCTTATTTTTAAGAAGCAGCTGTAGGGAAAAAAAATTATATATATAATACTTTGAAATTTCCTGTTTTTAGGAGCCTGGTGTTCAACTTGCAACTCATTCCTTTAAAAAGTAATTAGAAGTGATTGACATCCTCTGTGGGTGTTTTAGATGTTTAAAAAGAAAGAGCAGGTGAGGCCCCCTGGGAAGAGAGTGCAGCTCCAAGCTTACAACCTGTTGCCACTTTGCCCCATTGTGTTTTGATTAGAATCCTTGCTCCATCATCAAAGTTGATTATGGATTTGATTAGTGCATTTTTCTGCTATTGTGTTATACCCTTTCTTCTCTTTCTCCGTTCTTAGAGGGGAATGTATAGCATGGTTATCCGCCAACATGCAAGAATGTTTATATTTCGCATATTATTGCTTATTCCATGGGTTAATTTTCTGAAGGCACTCTGAGGGTGGGAGGGGTGGCTTATTTAGGATATCATTATGTGTGTGTATATACATGTGTATAAATACGTCTACTTCTGGATATGTGTATATACACATACACACACACACATATACAAATATGTACACATGGAACAGCTTAAAGTAATGAGCACATGTAAGCGCACACACATCAAAG